AATCCTAGCTAATTGGAAGCTGTGGCAGAAGACTGCAATACTCTTGGGAGAGCGCCATGGCACCGGGGCTAAGCCCACTGTGTAGGGAGTCAAAGCCCACATGGCTGACCACAGTTGGAATCCTGGCCCTGGTGGCTTGAAAAGTATGCTGGTGCATGTGTGTGTGTGCCCCAAATCATAAAAAGGGTAGAGAAATGGAGGGAAATAAAACTGGTGAGATCATGCCCCCTGAGGGGTGTTTTCGCTCTCTCTGGCAATGAAAATAAATATTTTTTTCTCTCTCCTTTCTCTTCCTACTCTCACTCACTGTCTTCCTAAGGAAATAAAAAGAAAAAGAACGAAAAATAGTAAATGAAAATAAGTCATATTAAAATTTTAGTCCTTTAGATTTTAATATAGACAGAATAATACCCCTTACACAAGAACAGCTTCACTTAATTATGTTACTTTCTTTAAAGCATATGATTTTGTGAATACTGGTATAGACTGTCTAGAAAGGGGTTGCTTGGGTTCTGCTTATTGTTATATATATACATATATATGTGTGTGTGTATATATGTGTGTGTGTGTGTGTGTGTGTATATATATGTGTGGTATTAGTATAAAGATACATAGATAAATGGAAGAGACTGGAGTTCAGAAATAGTTCCTCCTACAAACGATCGGTTGATTTTTAACTAAGATGCCATGTAATTCAATGAGGAAAGGGATAGTCTTTTCAACAAATAGTACTAGAATGAATGGATACCTAAATTAAAAATAAAATTGGACGTAGCAAAAAGTAAACTTTTGTACATGGCTGGTAGGAATATAAATTAATGCAGCCATTATAGAAAACAGTAGGGAGGCTCCTCAAAAAATTAAAAATAGTACTGCCATAAGATCCAGTAATCCCAAAAGTGGGCATATACCAAAGGAAATAAAATCAGTATTTTGAAGCAAACCCCCACGTTCCTTGCAGCACCACCCACAAGAGCAAAGATAAGAAATCAACCTAAGTGTTCACCAATGGATAATGGGAAAAGGAAATAAGGTGTTTAGACACCATGTAATATTATTCAGCCTTTAAAAATAATAAAATCCTGGGACCAGCAGTTGGCATAATGACTATGTCACTGGAGTCCCATGTAGTCGACCAAGGTTCGAGTCCCAGACCCGGTGGCTTCGCACATGTGTGCGTGCCCAAGATCCCGAGAGGAGGATGGAGGAGAAGGGATTGCGTCATGGCCATCCCCCACGGGGGGTGATTTTTTGCTTTCTGTCTCTCTGTCTTTCTCTGTCGTTCTGGTGAGCGCACGTGCCCTTTAGCAACAATCTCTCACAAAAATAATAACAATAATAATAATAAAATCCTGTAATTTGCAGCCACATGGATGAACCTGGAGGGAATTATGCTAAGTGAAATAAGTCAGGCTCCCAAAGACAAATACCTCATGATTTCACTTACATGTGGAATCTAAAATAGTCAAAGTCATAAAAACAGAGTAAACGATGGTACCTAAGGTAGGGAGTTAAAGAAACTGGGGAGATAAATAGCAGTCAAAAAAAAAATTTTTTTTTTGAGAGACTTTTGCTATAGGGTGCATGCGCTCGTCAGACAGAGAGAGAGAGACATGGAGACAGAAAGCGAGAAATCACCCCCCGGGGGGGTGGTCACGCTGCAATCCCTTCTCCTCCATTCTCCTCTTGGGATCTTGGGCACACACGCACACGCGCCCGGCGTGAGTTTTAAGCCACCGGGTCTGGGACGCGAACCGTGGTCGACTACGTGGGAGTCCAGCAACATAGCCATTATGCTAACTGCTGGTTCCCAAAATTTTAATCAGAGTATATGTGCCATAATAATGTGACTGAATGTATAGAAAAAATCAAAAATAAGTAAATAAAATTTAAAAAAAATTAATCAGCTAGCAGGAATAAGTTCAAGACATTAATTGTACATCATAGTGAGTACAATTAATACATGTATTGTATATTTTCAAATTGCTAGGGGAACAGATTTTTAAGTGTTTTCACCACAGAAATAACTAATAATTATGTTAGGTAATACATGTATTAATTAGCTTGATTTAGCCATTTCACCATGCATACATACTGAAAACATGTTATAAACCATAAATATGCCCTATTTTTATTTGCCAATTTAAAAAAGAAATGAAGGAAGAAAGGGACCTCAACCCCTAGATCTCACACTATTCATAAAAGTTAACTCCACATAGGATCATGGGGGCCAGGTGCTAGTGCAGTGGTAATCCAACTGGATCTGCACAGAAAAGGTTCTGGATTCACATCCTGGGTCCTCCCTGAGCATGCCAGACATGTGAGCGGCATGCCTGGGATCAGAGTCGGCTGAGACGAGGGATGGTACGTGGCATCAAGATCCTACTGGTGGTGTCTGACAGTCCCTCTCTCTCTTGCTCTGTCTCTCTCATGAGAGAAATAAATATATTTTTTCAAAAAATAGGATCATGCCTCTAAACACAAAAGCTAAAATGTGTAAGTTTTATAAACTCATAGAAGAAAATATAGGAGAAATATTTCAGGTCTTAGAGTAGGTGAAAATTCCTTAGGAGCGACATAAAAAGTATAGACCCCCCCCCAAAATCCACAAATTAGATTTCATCAAAATTCAAAAGATGCTGTTAAACATTTTTTTAAAGCAAGCCACAGACTGGGAGAAAATATCCCAATACATATTTCTAACAAAAGATGGGGATTCAGAATACATAGAATTCTATAATTCAGTAAAAGAAAGACAACCCAGTTTTTAAAATGTATGACAGATTTGGGGCCAGCAGGTGGTGTAGTGGGTAAGGCACTGGATTTCCGCATGGCCAATTGTAGTTTGAGTCCTGGACCTGGCAGCTTGTTTTCTCACTTTCCCTTTCTTGGTTTTTCTCTGGTCAAATTAAATAATAATAATAACAACAAATTAAAAATTAAGTCATTCTTTAAAAAAATGTATGAGAGGTTTGAATAGACATCTTATCAGATATATGAATGACCAGTTATCACATGAAAACGTGCTATATATCTTTAGTCACTATGAAACTAGAAATTACAACCATAGTAAAATACCACTAATTACCCACTAGAGTAGCTAAAGTTAGAAGACCCATAATACCAGGGTTTGAACATGTGCAGTGACTGTGGCTCTTACACATTCTTCGTGAAAGTCAATAAAAGGTACAACCACTTGGGGGGGGGTGAAAATTGGTAATTTCCTACAAAGTTAAAAACATACTTATCAGGACCAGCAGGTGGCGTGATGGTTAGAACACTGGACTCCTGCATGGCCCGCTATGGCCTGAGACCTGGACCTGGCAGCTTGCTTTCTCACTTCCCCTACCACCCTGTCTCTTTGGTGAGAATGCCCTATAGCAAATTAAAAAAATAATAATAAATAAAATTAAATAAATAATTCTTGGGGGTGGGGGGAACATCTCATGGGTCCAATAACTCCATCCCTAGGTATTTACCCAGGAGAAATAAGAGAATAACTCTGCACAAAACTTGGACCTAAAAGTTCACAGCAGCTTTAGTCATAACAGCCATAAGCTGCAGACATCCCAAACACATGTCAACTTGTAATAGATAAATAAATTGTGATGTGTGCACACAATGGATTACTACTCTGCAACAAAAAGTAATGAATGATTGATGTGCATGATGCCATAGAGGAATCTCAGAGACATAATGCGGAGTGAAAGGAGCCAGACAAAAGGGTGCATACCGCATCATTCCACTTACGTGAAATTCTAGGCGAGCTGGTTTACAGTGCTAGAAAACGGATCAGAGGCGGTGAGTGATGAAGACTGACTGAAAGAGGTCATAGGCGACAGCTACGAGGGCATATGAACTTGTTAAAAGGTCACAAACTCTATACTTAAAACAAATGCACTTTATTGCAGGGAAATTACACCGTAATAAAGTTGATTGAAAATAAAACCAAAATAATTGGAAAATGTCAACATGAACTCATGACTGAAGGGCCTAGAAAACTTAACACTCTCGTAGCAATACAACGCCTAACATCAAGATCTTGGTTTATAAACACTGGTCTCCACTGAAAGGCTCCCTGGAGATGTGGCTCATTCCAGACCTGGCACCAGGAAAGTCCGAGATGAGCCTGGAAAATCTTGTGCCAAAAAAATCGAAGATGTGCTCAAAGATAAAGAAGGAAAAGTTCAATGAAGATAGAAATGGGTCTAAAGAGTTCCATCTAGCCTGTGAACGATTTAAGCATCAAAAGAGAGATTAATAAAGCACATTGGGTCCTGGGCATGCATGTGAGTGCTCAGGATCTAACAGTGAGGAGGGGCTGGAGGGCTGGAGGAAGGAGACTGCGTTGTGATCCCTTCCTGTGGCGGGTAGGCCTCCCTCTTTCCAATTCTCCCTGTCTTCTACTGCTATCTGTCATGTGTGCACGACATCCATCATGACAGCAGAAACATATGCATACCCCACACACCCCTTCGTGTACACATTGGGGAAACTTAACCCACAAGTCTATGGTTACAGGTTTCATGTGTGGTTGTGTGTGTAGTAGCAGCTACTTTTAGGTTGTTGCAACAAAACTTACTTACTTATTATTTATTTATTTATTTATTTGGCATGTGTGCTTGCCGGAAAGAGGAAGGGAGAATGAGAAAACACCCCTGAATGGGCATGGTCACACTGCAATATGCTCTCCATTTCTCCATTCTGTCTGGATTTGGGGCACACATGCACACACACTCAGCATGTTTTTCAAGACATAAGGACTAGGATTCAAACCACACAGCCATGTGGGATTGACTGTTTCAAGAGAAAGAAAATATTCACACTGTTTCCAAGTCTTACCCCACAAACGAACCTGCTTGTTATAAGAAGAGAATGTGCCTTCAGAATGAGAAAGGTGATGGTCACTTCCTTGACCAAGGGGGCAAGTCTGGCATTGCCGCGTGCTGATGACCTAACAATACGTGCCACCTCACTGGATGCACGAGGAAGACACTTTCACCTACCTGCTTTGGCCTGAGTAGTTAAGGTAGCCCATGACTGCTAGCGAGATTAAACAGCCAAGTGCAGTTTTGTAAGTATGTAGACTAATTATAGCCAAACTGACAAACTATTTACATTTCTATCTTCCTCTAGGTTTCGAAGAAAGAAGCAACTGTTACAGGAAAACTATACTCTGAGAGCATAATTGCTGTGACAATACTAGGGAGGAGACCATGAGAGACGATGTCCTGCTGTGGAAGTCCTCCAGTCACACAGGACCCCATTCTCTCTTCTTCCATCAATGCCAAAATGCTTTACCTTTAGAAAATGCAAATGAACTTTTCCATTCCACTATTTCTTGTAAAGGTCTGTGAAACCTGATGTTGAAAATATGAGTGTAGTTAACTATTGCCAATGACTATGTTAATCTTCATTAGGACACTGAAAAAAGAATTAGAAAAAAATTAAAATAGAATCATAGCTAGGATTGCAGAAACCTTCCGCAAATTACAAGGTCTAACATATTCCAAAATTCCAAGCCCTTGCCCCCTTCAGCATGTGATTCTTTGCAACACATTCTCTACTATATTCCAAGGTCCAGAGTGCTCCAGTGGCTCAGAGCATGTTACTTACCTCTGCAGCAGTCTGTCTAGCATGTAACTCAGGGGTTGTCCAACTGTATAGTCCCTCTGGACACAAAGATCTGAGGCTCTTAGCAACAGTGGATGGCTGGTTTCAACAGTCCACTAGTATTGTAATGTAATAGCAAACTCAGACAAAAAGAAGCCAGTCTACACCTTGAAAAAGTTATAAATTAACACCACTTACTGGAAAGCATATAATGCTTTTTTCCCTTAAAAATAATAACAATAATAATAATAATAAATCAGGCCAGCCGCTGTGGCACAGCAGATAATACATCCTGAGGTCTTTCTGTACGTGGCTGACATGCATCAGCAGGTCCACAATCCAAGATGGCTGAGGCTGGTGGAGGATAACTGGTGAAGACGTTGTAGGGGGTGTCTGTCTCTCTGTCATGAACTACTTCTCTAAGGGAAGTGTTCAGTAGCAGATGGATATGTGTAGGATGAGACAGCCCTGCCCACACACTCCAGACAGAAGGTCCCACCTAGGTAGGTCTGGCCTGTACTCAACCTTCCAGATAGAAAGGATAACAGCTGCCCTCCAGGAAAGACTTACCTTGCCTCAAGGCCAAACGTGTGCATTAGATCAGTGGCATGTCCTTGGGATAGGACACTTACTCCTTTAACATGTATTAGTATTGTGGTTTTGACCCCTCCATTCAGCCTGTAGGCTTTCATGATGCATTCTGGGAAATGTGTGTGCAGAAGTGTATAAGTTATTTAAGTCCCTGGTTGTCAATTAAAGATGATCCTGTAAAAAAAGGAGGGGGTGGTCACTCAAGGGAGGGACCAGGAGAGGGAAGTAGAGTCACTAGTAGAACCACTACAAAATCTTCATACAGGGCCCAGCAGTTAGCATAATGGCTATGTCGCTAGACCCCCATGTAGTCGACTGCATTTCGAGTCCTGGACCTGGAGGCTTAAACTCACACCGGGCGCGTGTGCGTGCATGCCCAATGGAGGAGAAGGGACTGAGGCATGGCCATCCCCCCCGGGGGGAGGGGGTTTCTCGCTTTCTGTCTCTCTGTCTCTATTGTGAGCGCATGCGCCCTATAGCAAAAATCTCTCTCTCAAAAAAAATGTTCATACAGACCAGCAGATGGCGTGGTGGTTAAGGGACAGGCTCCCATGACTTGAGTCCTGGACCTGGTGGCTTGAAAAATCACATTGGGTGCATATGCATACATGCCCAAAATCCCAGGAGGAGAATGGAGTAGAAGGGATTATGGCATGGCCATTCCCACTGATGGGTGATTTCCCATTTTTCCTCACTCTGCTATCTCCAGTGAGCACATGTGTCCTATGGCAAAAATCTTAAAAAACAAAAAAAAACTTCAGATAACTCTAGGGCTGGTCTGATTTCAATCAGTCCACTCTCCCTTCTTGAGAGTGTTTTTTGCTTTGCTTACCTGCTAGTGTCTACCTTTAATTATTTGCTGTAGGGCCACGATCTGAGGACCATGACCACCCAGGAAACCATCCTGGTGCCATGACCCGGATCACACAGCCATCTTGGCGGTAAGATGTCCTCCCTTGCCTTAGAGGTGACAAGACCTCTTCCTCCTCTCCACTCGCTCATTTGCACAGTGCACCCAGAGTCCCTTCTTCCCCTGTGTGTGACCCTCTGCCTTGCCTGCTCTGTCCTTTTCACACTGATGTTTAGTTTGCTGACCACTGTTGTTTCTGCTCCTTGACGAGGGGGTGAACTTTATAACAAGGAAGTCACTCTCACCTCCACAATCTATCCCTGACAGCTTCCCTTATTCAAAACCACCCTTCCTCCCAAGGACACAAGGATCTGAGGCTTGTGTCTCAGCTCTTTTCTAATTGCACCAGCAACTCTGGACCAGGAAAGCCGGTTTCTTCCTTCTGATCTCATGGTGTTGCTTACCTTGACCACGTCAGTGACTATATGCCTCTCATGTGGCACCAGGCTGCCAAAAGCCTCCTCAGAGTTTCTTTGCCCCTTCCTCAAATCCTGTTTATATACGGGGTCTTTGAGCTTCTCCCTATCTCTCTGCTCTGGCTTGCTGCCCAAAGGTCCGTTTTTGATTGTAGTACACCCTTCTCTTCCTTCTGCTGTCCTGTTCTCACAGCACAGAAGACACCCTCCTCATGCGAATGGGCCACGATTCTCTGAGAACCATCCAACCAGCCTGCAACCTGCTTGCCCTCCTCTGTTACACTCTTACATGGTGCCTGGGAAAAGAAACCTACACCTTAGGTAAGTAACTACAGTACTGTGTTACAAACTGTGCAGGGAAATTGGCAGGACCCTATCAGATTGACAGGAGCTCTCCTGAACTCCTTTTTCCCTTTGATCAACGTCAGATACCTACACCATGGCACTTGTGCAATCTTACAGAGCCTAGAATGGGCCCTACTCCTCAAATCAGATAAGCTGTTGACAGGTCTGGGACACACAGTAAGGTCAACTAACCCAGAGTCCCAGGCACGGGAGAGAGCAGGGGACACCCTGCTCCATCCTGGCTTGAGAGGTAAGACAGAGGGCATGCTGCTCCCTTCCTGGTTCAGAAGGTGAAACTGGGGATGCCATCTCCCTCCCTGGCATCAAGATTAAACCAGGAATTTGATGGCGATGTCCACACTCCTTGGTTCCCTTTAGATTTTGTCTTTTAGGTGGGTAACCAGATCTTGACTGCTCCCAGATTTACCCCTGAGGTATATTTTCAATATTTGAGGGTCCTTTGACCCAGAATCTCAAGAAATGTGGTGTACTCTCTTTTATAACATTGCTTGGCCACAATATAAATTAGGAAACCAGGAAGAATGGTCCCAAAATGGGAGAAGTAACTTTAACACCATCTTGCAACTTGACTGATTTTTCAGACAACTAGGGAAGTAGAGTAGATTCCCGTGTGTCAGCGTTAGACCCGCTCACAGAGGGAAAGCCCGGGTCTCTGTACAGCCTGTAGGACACCCTGACCACCCTGACCAGACGTGACAAGACCAGTCAGAACCCCTCTCCTCTGGAGAGGAAAAAGGACTCTCTGCCAAGGGGGTTGAACCTCTCTCTCCAGGAGAAATCAAACTGGGGGAAGGGCTTGGCCCAGAATTCAGGGCCACCTCTGCTTCCCCAAATGGAGTAGAGTTGGACCCTACTTCATTTACCTGGGGCCCAAACTGGCCCTGAGTTGCCTGCTGGTGGAAACGCCTAATGAATTGGGCACTGTGAGAATCTATAGAACTGAAATAGATAAAGGCAGACCTGGGGAAGTTTTCAGGGGACTGTGTTAAGTACCTAGAGGGATTCCAACACTTGATGGTGGCCTCTGAGTGGTCATGGAGAGGTGTGATAATGATATTGGGACAAATATTATTTGACACTGAAAAGAAAAGGAGGTTGAAGGAGGCCTGTAATGTGGGAACATCTTACCCTGATCCAACCCCAACTATCCAGTGGGATATGGCACTGACCCATAACTCCAAGATGCTCCCTCTTGGGGTTATGACGATAAGAAGGAAAGGCAAGAGCGTGATCACTCCCTCCTCCATGTTAGGAGGGACTGAAGGCTAACCTCTCATTAGGACCCATCTCTGCCTCCCTGCCAACTGGACTGGAACAGGCACACTGGCTTATCTCCCTAAAACTTCCATCTCCCCAGGTGATGCCTCTTTGCCCATACCCATATCGATTACCTCACACTGAGCCCACCACGTGACCCAGCTAATTCCCCACCTTACTGGCCTCGGCATCTCACCACAGGGGCTGCCACTGGAAAACAGGTGTAGTGCAGAGTCACCTTACAGTTTACCACAACTGACCCCTCAGGCTCCCTCGAGAAATAAAAACCAGCACACGGGCTCTAACAAAGACAGAGAAACAAACGAATTCCCTAGAGGTCGCAGTCCTACAAAACCAGTGAGCATTAGTCCCATGCACAGCAGAGAAGGGGGAGTCTGCAGGACACTGAAGGGAAAGTTCACTCAGAAAGTTTCTGAGTAAAATCAAACAAGACAAGTACAAGGACACTTTCAGTTCAAAAATTTCATTTAAAAAATTGTTAACGTCAAGCAGCTTCATGAACAGGCCAAAACGGGAACAAAAGTGGGATGACTCTTGATCTTGGCTCTCCCAGTTGCTCCCGTCTGTGGGACCCTGGGACCGACACCAGCCTTACTAGCGGCTGGACTCCCTTGTTTAACCTCCTTGTTAGGTTGGCCTCTTCTGGGTTACAGTCCATCAGGCTACATGTGGTTTGAGAGCAAGGAGAGCAGCCAATTTCTGGGCAGGAATGGATCTACATGGGACCACTGACCCAGCCTGAGTGAGTCACCCCACGGCAGCAGGACCCTCTGACAAGAGCCGAGGCCCTGAACCCTATCTCGTGTCTTTCTAGCCAGACCGTGTC